TGTACTGTATGTGTATACTGTATGTGTGTACTGTGTGTAGTGTGTGTGTACTGTGTGTGTGTGTACTGTGTGTGTGTGTACTGTGTGTATACTGTATGTGTGTACTGTGTGTGTAGTGTGTCTACTGTGTGTGTACTGTGTGTGTAGTGTGTGTGTACTGTGTGTGTGTTTACTGTATGTGTGGTGTGTGTACTGTGTGTGTGTACTGTGTATGTGTACTGTGTGTGTACTGTGTGTACTGTGTGTGTGTGTACTGTGTATGTGGACTGTGTGTGTGTACTGTGTGTACTGTGTGCGTGTACTGTGTATTTGTGTACTGTGTGTGTACTGTGTGTGTGTGTACTGTGTATGTGTGTACTGTGTGTGTGTGTACTGTGTATGTCTTCTTGGTTCTTTCGGTAAAGTCACGTAGAAGGGAAGTAATAAAATAATAAAAATAAATAAAACATAATAAAATAATTCTCACGACGTTTCGGCCACAACGCAAGCAGCCGTCCTCAGGTGAAAACCAGGTCCGTCGAGGCGACAGAGTCTGAATGAAACAGCACACGAGCTTGGAGCATATATATAAGCTGGGCGCATTGACAAAGAAATTTGCATATCAAGAGGAATTTAGCATATTCATGGGAAATGCAGGAATGTGATTAGTACTGCATATGCATGTGCATTATGCAGGATTAACAGCATCAAAGGGAGCTACAGTTGCTGCTGCTGCTGCAGTTGCTGCTGCTGCTGCAGTTGCTGCTGCTGCTGCAGTTGCTGCTACTGCTGCAGTTGCTGCCTTATCCATTTTTAATATAACACTATGTATTATTCTACCCACCTTACTGGCATGGTGCAGTGTGCAGAGTAATGTATGGTGTCGTAATTGTATAGTAAATATATAGCAGTGTGATACACATTAAGGTGGGTAGAATAATACATAGTGTTATATTAAAAATGGATAAGGCAGCAACTGCAGCAGCAGCAGCAACTGCAGCAGCAGCAGCAACTGCAGCAGCAGCAGCAACTGCAGCAGCAGCAGCAACTGTAGCTCCCTTTGATGCTGTTAATCCTGCATAATGCACATGCATATGCAGTACTAATCACATTCCTGCATTTCCCATGAATATGCTAAATTCCTCTTGATATGCAAATTCCTTTGTCAATGCGCCCAGCTTATATATATGCTCCAAGCTCGTGTGCTGTTTCATTCAGACTCTGTCGCCTCGACGGACCTGGTTTTCACCTGAGGACGGCTGCTTGCGTTGTGGCCGAAACGTCGTGAGAATTATTTTATTATGTTTTATTTTTATTATTTTATTACTTCCCTTCTACGTGACTTTACCGAAAGAACCAAGAAGATGAATCCCTGCAGTCACGAAAGCTTTAAATCGAAATTTATACTGTGTATGTGTGTACTGTGTGTGTACTGTGTGTACTGTGTGTGTGTACTGTGTGTACTGTGTATGTATACTGGGTGCGTACTGTGTGTACTGTGTGTGTGTACTGTGTATGTGTGTACTGTGTGTGTACTGTGTGTACTGTGTGTGTGTACTGTGTGTACTGTGTGTGTATACTGTGTATGTGTGTACTGTGTGTACTGTGTGTGTGTACTGTGTGTACTGTGTGTGTATACTGTGTGCGTACTGTGTTTACTGTGTGTGTGTACTGTGTGTGTGTACTGTGTGTGTGTACTGTGTATGTACTGTGTATGTACTGTGTGTGTGTACTGTATATGTACTGTGTGTATACTGTGTGTGTGTACTGTGTGTGTACTCTGTGTGTACTATATGTACTGTGTGTGTTCGTACTGTGTGTGTTTTCTGTATTCTATGCGTACTGTGTGTAATATGTGTGTACTGCATGCACTGTGTGTGTAATGTGTGTACTCTACGTGTACTGTGTGTACTGTGTATGTACTATGTATACTGTGTGTGTACTGTGTGTGTACTGTGTGTGTGAAATGTGTATGTACTTTGTGTGTGTACTGTGTGTGTGTACTATATGTAGTGTGTGTGTGTACTGTGTGTGTGTACTATGTGTGTACTGTGTGTGTGTGTACTGTGTGTGTACTGTGTGTGTGTGTACTGTGTGTGTACTTTGTGTGTACTCTGTGCGCACCACTCGGCAGGCAGCTGTCTCCTCGTGCGCTTTCGTTCTGTGTTTGGAACGCATCTACTACACCACGCTCGTACGACCGCATACAGCGAGCGAAAGCTGTGATGACGATTGAACTCCAATTGCCTTGGGCTCCCCCCCCCGAACCACAAATTGCCCCCCTCGCCACCCTCGTGTGCCCCTGCGCACTCGGCACGACTCGAAAGCTGCCAAGTTGCGTTTATCTCTCTGATCGAGGCCAATCCGTTCGTGAGCATTTCGCTAACTTGTAAACTAAAAACACACAAACACACAACACGCGAACTGAGTCGGAAGTCCCCAATGCAGGTGAGATGACCGTAGCTTGTGAATTGTGATGTGTTTTAGCGGGTCACATTCAGCTGTTGAATCTCAGTGGGCGTGTTGAGATAAGGGTCACCGGGTGTTTAAGGGGTGGGAAATGATTTGGGCAACTCAGGTGGCTTCGATAGTAGACGATTTTTTAGAGGCCGAGTCGACCGAGGGGGAGGCCAGGTATTGGTGGTGGTAGTGGTGTGGTAGTGGTGGTGTGGTAGTGGTGGTGGTGGTTGGTGTAGTTAGTAGCAGTGTTGGTGGTGTAGGTAGTGTTCGTAGTGGTCATGGTAGTGGTGTGGTAGTGGTATTCGTCGGTGTAGTTAGTAGTAGTGGTGTAGGTAGTAGTAGTGGTGGTGGTTGTAGTGGTAGTGGTGGTGATGGTGTAGGTAGTGGTGGTGGTAGTCGTGAAGGCAGTGGTGTGTGTAGTTGATATAGTTAACAGTAGTAGTGGTGTGCAGTAGTAGTAGTGGTGATGGTGTATGTAGTAGTAGTGGCGTGTGTAGTAGTAGTAGTAGTGGTGGTGGTGTTGGTAGCAGTAGTAGTGGTGTGTGTAGTAGCAGTAGTGGCGTGTGTAGTAGTAGTTGTGTGTGTAGTAGCAGTAGTAGTGGTGTGTAGTAGTAGTGGTGGTGGTGGTGTAGGTAGCAGTAGTAGTGGTGTATGTAGTAGGAGTGGCGTGTGTAGTAGTAGTAGTGGCATGTGTAGTAGTAGTGGTGTGTGTAGTAGCAGTAGTAGTGGGGTGTAGTAGTAGTAGTAGTGGCGTGTGTAGTAGTAGTAGTGGTGGTGGTGTAGTAGCAGTAGTAGTGGCGTGTGTACTAGTAGTGGTGTGTGCAGTAGTGGTAGTAGTGGCGTGTGTAGTAGTAGTTGTGTGTGTAGTAGTAGTAGTAGTGGTGTGTGTAGTAGTAGTGGTGTGTGCAGTAGTGGTAGTGGTGGTGGTGGTTGGATGAAGATCGCTCCCTCTCGCGCAAGATCAATTGACGGAACAGGCTCGTTACCGTCCGAGGAGGAGGAGGAGGATGGAGAGGGGTTTTTATTTTCCTTTCTGCTGCTCCGCCATAATTTGATACAGCCTGGCCGAGACCAGGGCCATTCATCTTGCGTTCTCACTGCGAGCCCTGCCAAAATAATACTTTAATTGTCGTTGGATGGCTTCAAATTCTGCTGCGGCTTCACAGAAAAAAAAATCTTTGCACCCCCCCCCACTCCGTCCCTCGCCCCCCCCCAACTCGCTCCCCCCTTTCTATCTGGGCGCACAGTGACCGTGCTGATAGGGCCACTGTCAGTCGTGATGGATGCCCGCCGAACACGGGCTCTCTGCACTTGGCTGGCTTTTCTCTTGCTCATAAAATCCAACACAAAGAAGCCCTGGGCGCATTGTTTCACGGGGCATAGCGGTGGTGGTGTTGGTTGTTGTTGTTGTTGGTGGGTGGGTGGTGGTGGTGTATTTGTGGAGAGTGGTGGCGCAGTGATTAGCGCACTACGCTACTAAAAACACAAAAAAGCCGACGAGGCCCGTTCGATTTCTCGCTCACGGCCAACGCCGTTGACGATTATCTTGATCCTGTTGTTGCAAACAAAGGACACGTTTAATCCAGCTTATTGAATGCTATCGTTTGTGAACACGTGTGTATAAAAAAACAACAGGTACGATGCCTCGCACGTGCACGACTGATGACCAGAGACGTCCCGAGGGTGTGGCGAGTCGGGGCGACCGCCCTGGGCCCTGTGCTTTGGGGGGGGGGTTGAACATCGCGCTTTGAGGTCACGGCGTCGGCAGGCCCACACGGTGCATGCTTTGCACCGCCCCCCCCCATCCCCCATGCTTACCGGTGTCACCATGATTAGTGAACTACTCCTGCTGCGGTGTGCATTCACTTTGGAATATTCAAAAAATGTATTAACCAAAACAAACATCAATGGGCCTCAGGTCTGATGTTCTTTTATTTATCCGGGAAAAGTCACAGTGAGTCCAGTAGGACCCTGCTATGTTTTTTAGTTTTTTTATTGTTGTTGTATTGTTTATTTAATGTATAAGTTGTTTATACACGTGGGAGGAAATCAGAGCACTGGGGGGGGGGGGGGGGGACCCCCACGCAAGCGAGGGGACAACACTCAATCCCCCCTACAGATGGAAACAGATGGGGATGAGTTTTCGCGACACCACCTACCCTCACTGCCATCTCCACAGCGTGGCGCGCCCCATTTACCGATGACTATGCCCGAGACGTGGAGACCATCAATTCACCAGTCGCGCTCGCAAATGATGCACGTGCGTTGATTTTATTTCGCACCGGACGCGTCCAACCGCGTTCATCCGATGTGCCGGGGAAGGACAACTCATTGACGCAATTGACGTCATCTCACAATAGTCAGAAGTGTATTGCCCGAGTTAAACCCGTAAAGCTAAGAAGCTCTTTTCCACAAGGCAACTCAGTCGACAGACAACATCACAGCACTCCACAATTATAGAATTGAAAAAATATTTCTCTTAAAAAAAAGATCAGGAATGGTGGTGGCTGTTGTGACGGCGTAGTCACGTGATGTTACCCCCCACCCCCCATCGCAATCAGACGAGGAGGATGAGGAGGAGGACGAGGACATGTACGACGACGCGTGCGGGACCACGTGGGCACACGACCTCGCTCCGTCGCCGCCGCTCACGTGGAAGAACAAAAGCGTCGCTCCCGCGGTCGGTACGTGGCACGGGACATGTGTTGCAGGTTGTCTATGAATGAGTGAAAATATCTTCTTGGTTCTTTCCGTAAAGTCACGTAGAAGGGAAATAATAAAATAATGAGAATAAAACATAATAAAATAATTATATTATATAACATAAATAATAAACTAATAAAAATAAAACATAATAAAATAATAACATAATATAATATATACTTTTTTATGTTTTATTTTTATTATTTTATTATTTCCCTTCTACGTGACTTTACCGAAAGAACCAAGAAGATGAATCCCCGCAGTCAGTGAAAATAAAATTCCATGATGGTGTTTTACACTATTATTACCGATACAATGAAAAACAATGTTATTGTATTATCACGAGCTTGTTTGACCGTCCAAAGATGTGGTGTATATTGCGGTAAATCTGAAATATTCAATAGAGAAATTGTTCAGCTCATGATTATTAATGAGGGGGGTGGGGAGTTGCCCCATGTGGAGTGACGTCACCCGCTCATGGTTATTGGGGAGTAGTGCAGCATGTGGAGTGACGTCACCAGCTCATGATTATTAATGAGGGGGGGGGCTCATGTGGAGTGACGTCACCCGCTCATGGTTATTGGGGAGGGGTGCGGCATGTGGAGTAACGTCACCCCCTCATGGTTATTGGGGAGGGGTGCGGCATGTGGAGTGACGTCACCCGCTCATGGTTATTGGGGAGGGGTGCGGCATGTGGAGTGACGTCACCCGCTCATGGTTATTGGGGAGGGGGGGGGGACTGATGTGGAGTGACGTCACACCCTCATGGTTATTGTGGAGGGGTGGGGCATGTGGAGTGACGTCACCCGCTCATGGTTATTGGGGAGGGGGGGGGCATGTGGAGTGACGTCACTCGCTCATGGTTATTGGGGAGGGGTGCGGCATGTAGAGTGACGTCACTCGCTCATGGTTATTGGGGAGGGGTGGGGCATGTGGAGTGACGTCACTCGCTCATGGTTATTGGGGAGGGGGGGGCTCATGTGGAGTGACGTCACCCGCTCATGGTTGTTGGGGAGGGGTGCGGCATGTGGAGTGACGTCACCCGCTCATAATTATTAATGAGGGGGGGGGGCTCATGTGGAGTCACGTCACGCGCGGCCCACACACACAAACATTATTGGCTCCTTATATTAGTAATTAATTGTACTCATCATCATCATAACGATCCATGGGCAGATAGCCCTGTAGGTGTCCGCTGCAGATTTCATCATTTGTTTTCACTTCCCCATCTCTGTCTTGCGTGCCAATACGCTTCAAGTCGTGGGCACATCTATCTGGCACCATTCTCTGATGTCGTCGTCCATACATTCTCTGTGAGGTCTTCCTGTCTTTCCAGCTCCTGTCCATTTTCTTTTCCAACAACGAAAACAACAACACGCTTTTAATTGTACCTGTTGGTATTCTTTGGGTCTGTCGGTAAAGTCACGTAGATTAAAAAAAAGAACAAAAAGATTTTTTTTTTTTTAGTTACATTGAACCTATCTGCGTGACTTTACCGAAAGACCCAAAGAATATTAATTCCTGCAAGTCACGAAAGCTTTAAGTTAAGATGTACCTGTTGTTGTCCATCCTGCACACGTGTCCATACACTGGAGTGCCGGCTTTCCTTCTCATCACCGCCTGCATCAGGTCTTCTTCTATAAAATTCATGCCGATTCATAATTTTGCTGACTTTATTGGTGGGGCAGGTCGCGCAAGTCACAATGCCAACGTGTAATATTCCGGGATAGGGAGAATCAGTACCATTTAGTGGGGAATCAAACCGTGGGTTTGGATCGACACGCGTACAGGATTCTTCTTGCGGTACCTCTGGTGGTCGTGGACGATTTCTATAAAACGGGCGCACGAAGCGACACCGCACGAGAAGACGGTTGTCTGCCGAGTAGCCCATAGAGTACACACACAGTACACACAGTACACACACAGTACACACATAATACACACGGTACACACACAGTACACACACGTACACACACAGTACACACACGGTACACACACAGTACACACGGTACACACACAGTACACACATAGTACACACACAGTACACACACAGTACATACAGTACACACACGGTACACACACAGTACACACATAATACACACGGTACACACACGGTACACATACAGTACACACATAATACACACGGTACACACGGTACACACACGATACACACACAGTACACACACAGTACACACACGGTACACACACAGTACACACACGCTACACGCACACAGTACACACACAGTACACACGGTACACACACGGTACACACACAGTACACACAGTACACACACAGTACACACCGTACACACACGGCACACAGTACACACACGGCACACACACGGCACACAGATAATCCACACGGTACACCCACGATGTTGTCCTACGCCCGACCGCATAGCCGCATCTGAGTGAATTCAAGCCGCGCATAGGGAATTTGGAGTAGAAATAAGTTGAGTCGTATATACCCGAAATCGCACACACCAAGGCCGTAAGAAGCAAGGGAAAACTTGTTTTGGATGCCGTGGTTTATCAAAGTTCTTGGCACCAAGAAATACGATGATGATGAAGATGTTGGGACGTGGTCCAAATCATGAAAGCTTCCGTATCGTTGCCATTGAACCCATTACAGCAATGAAAGCACGACGCTTAAAGAAAAGAAAAAAAAACATGGCATGTTGGTGCCAGATAAAATGTTAATGTATTATTTTCCTTGAGCGAAAAATCTGCCGGTCTAAAGCGTTTCCAGACCACAGAGAGAGAGAGAGGGAGAGAGGGAGGGGGAGGGCGCACGGAGCCAAACGAAGGCGGAATATTTGAAGTGGCCACGTGGTACAAATTTAATACCACAGCACAAGACCGCAATCGGTAACGAAGGCAGATGCACAATCTCGTTGTTGAAAAGTACCGGGAAATAACTCAAAATGTATGAATAAGTGTCGAAAGACGCGCTGAAGACCCAGCGTGGAGTCGGCACACCTCGCAAGCCCTCCGGGGTGGGTGGGTCGGGATGAGATCATTGTACGTGCGCGCGTATTTGTGTTACAAGTGCATAAGGAGCGGCATAGAGACCCACACACTCGTACAGAGATCTAAAGAATCGCATAGAGACCCGTAGACTTACATAGACATCCACAAACTCACGCGGAGATCTTTAGCAGTTAGCGCGCTGCGCTACAAATTCCACAACCCGAGTTCAAATACCACTCACGGCCAACACCAGTGACGATTATCTGAACCGGTCAAGGGCCAAGTTATTTTTTTATGTATTTCTACATTTGTTTGTTAAACCCCAAAAACATTTTTTCCCATCACATCCCCCGCGAAATGTGACAACTGGGTGGTGATTCGCAGCAAATCGTGCAATACATCACCACGCAACTGGCTGGGACATTCTCGGCCCGTCAAATGCAGCAGGCACACGGTGACCTCTCGGCTCTGCGAGAGAGAACTATGGTAGAAGACAATTTGAAGTGGCACGTTTGGCCAAAGAGAAAGATCTCCCGTACAGCCTTAATCAACTGTTGGGGCAAGTGCTGTTGGCGAACACCGAAGAAGGCTGGCACGGCACACGAGGGAGTGGGTGGCCAGCACCACGCCCGGCCGCCTTTGTCTCCCCAGTGGCGATGTTTGCACACCGCACCAGGGGAGGCACAGCACCCGGTTCAGATAGTGGTCACCGCTGTCGACCGTGAGCGGTAATCGAACTCGGGTCGCAGGGTTCGTTGCGGAGCTCGATGACGGCTACGCGACCGCTCCCAAAGCACTCAGGCACGAGGCTGCCACCACATTTGTTTCAATTCACTTAGCGGCTCTTAGCGCTGCTGCTGCTGCTGCTGCCGCTGCCAGAAGTCGCAGTCACGATGCGACCCACGGGCCGCGGCGTCGTCTCGGCCGTGGCACCACTTAGGGCGAGATTCGCGTGCCAGCGGGCAGGAACTTTAATGCAGCAATACGTGGTGGTGGGGGGGGGGGGGAAATGTTGTAGCCAAATTGGAGTTGGAGGGGGGTGGGGTGGTGTCCAGCCAATTCAGTAATTTTTGGCGGCAGCAGCAGCAGCAACAACAGCAACAAAACTGGCGGAAAAGGGGAATTTGCGACGTACCATAAATCAGGTGCCCCGCTCGGCCCGATACGGGCACTTGCGAACGCGGGCCACGTGCAGGAACGAATTAGGGGGGGCGGGGGGTGGGGGGGGGTGCTGAAGGTAGCCGTGGAACTATCGCAGGTTGCTTCGCTCATTTTCAGAGGTCGGGGGGTGACACTTGCGCCGATAAGATATCATCAGCGCGAGGTTCCGCCAAACGTTTGCAACCACTGGGTTTGGACAGCGTGACGGGGGTGAGTCAGGCGCTGCACGAGAGGCCACCAGAAACATTCAGTGGCACGCGGGGCCTTGCCATGAAGAACACTCAAATATCGCGAGTGGGGACGCGTTTTGTTTTTTATCGGCGTCACCCCCCCCCGCCCCCTCCTCCCCACCCAACCGCCCCCCCCCTCCCCCTCCTCCCCACCCAACCGCCCCCCCCCTCCCCACCCACCGCCCCCACTCCTCCCCACCCAACCGCCCCCCCCCCTCCCCACCCAACCGCCCCCACTCCTCCCCACCCAACCGCCCCCCCCCTCCCCACCCAACCGCCCCCCTCTCCTCCCCACCCAACCCCCCCTCCTCACCCAACCGCCCCCCCTCCTCCCCACCCAACCCCCCCTCTCCTCCCCACCCAACCCCCCCCTCCCCACCCAACCGCCCCCCCCTCCTCCCACCCAACCCCCCCCCCTCTCCTCCCCACCCAACCCCCCCCCTCCTCACCCAACCCCCCCTCTCCTCCCCACCCAACCCCCCCCTCCCCACCCAACCGCCCCCCCTCCTCCCCACCCAACCCCCCCCCCTCTCCTCCCCACCCAACCCCCCCCCTCCTCACCCAACCCCCCCCCTCTCCTCCCCACCCAACCCCCCCCCTCCCCATCCAACCGCCCCCCC